AAAGAAAACAAAAATAACGACTTTATTCAACAATTCATCTCCTCCACATCAGTTATAAGCGCCATTTTAGTATCACATACGTAAACAACGTATGCTGTTCTGTGTCAGCAGCACCGTACGCAGATATGCTGTTTACGCTTTGATCTGAATGTAAACAACGTATCCACGTACATACGTTGCATACGTTGTTCACGTATGTGATACTCTCCAAAATGGCGCTACAGGGTGACGCAGAGGAGACGAATTGTTGAATAAAGTCGTTATTTTTGTTTTCTTTGTGCAGAAAATGTATTCTCGTACCTTCGTAAAATTACGGTTGAACCACTGATGTCACATGGATTATTTTAACGATGTCCTTACTACGTTTCTGGACCTTGATGATCGTGGTAGGATTCTTGCTGTCTATGGAGGGTCAGAGAGCTCGCGGAACGCATCAAAAATATCTTAATTTGTGTTCCGAAGATGAACGAAGGTCTTACAGGTTTGGAACGACATGAGGGTGAGTAATTAATGACAGGATTTTCATTTGTGAACTATCCCTTTAAGAGAAAAAAAATCCCTATGGAGAAAATGAATAGGAAAAACAAAATATTTGCAGAACCAAGGCCACTGTTGCCTCTATAGAAACAAACTCAAGTTCACCTATTTGGTGTGTGATACTCGTGGCTCTGAAGTTCCCGCAGCAGTTCTTTGACCTGCAGTTTGTTCTCTGAAGTCATGTGTATCTTCTGCAGGGGCAGCTGCACTTGCTCAGGTCTAAATCTGGATCTCATCTCCTCCTCGTCGTGTTTTCTGGCCAGTGCCTGAGATCTTCCTCTGCCGGTTCCTCCACGAGCCCCACGGACACCTCTTGAACCTCTAGATGAGGGAGGCTTGAATGACCGACTGCGACCCAAATCCAGGCTGAAATCATCCCCATCATCCCAACATCCACTAGCAGCTTTCCTGTTTCCACCTCCACCTCCTCTTCCTCCTCCACCTCCACCTCCTCTTCCTCCTCCACCTCCTCTGGGTTTATTGAACCGTCCTCCACCCCGATTGGGTTTGCTTCTCCTCCTTCCACTCATTAGTTCAGCTCCCTTTTAGTGTATTTCCTTTCAATTGAAGCATACGTGTGTTAATACACTTGTCCTGAAAACCATCTGCAAACAAGCTAATATAATCATTTCTTATATATATATATATATGCTTATTTATATTTAACGGCTGGTATTTTATTTGTAAGGATTATAAGCATAAATCAACCATTTAAATATAGAAACACAGCAACCAGACATGAGTTAGGACGTATTATACATAGTATAAATGTACACTATATGTTGTGAGTACAGACAGTTAAGAAAAAATACACGTTATTTGACAAAGAAAGCCAGCTCACAAATCATACCGATCATCGAGCCGATATTGAAATCAATATGAAATCTCGCGAATCTCTTGCTGTACAGTTACAGCTACTTTTGTATCAGTAGATTGAAATCAGCAGCAAGCAAAAGAGTTGCGACAGGAAACATGCTGCATTTTTCAAAATAAAAGTCGGGCGTGGAACAAAATAAAAACCTGAGCTCTGGCGAACAGTTTTGGTTTTGTTTTATTTTATAATTTTATTTTGTTTGCGTTTTTTAATCACAAATACTATATATTGAAACTAGCTTTAAGCTGTATCACGATAAGTCATGTTTCAAAATGACATCAAAATAAATCAATACAAAACAATAAAACATCGATAAATAGGTTCAGTGGTCTATAAAAAATAATGAAACCGCATAACAAATGAGCACATTTAGTGTCTTGGGTCCGTGTACGTTTTGATCATTTCATCTCCTATTTGGAATGCAATAACGAGAAATGGAAAAACGGCTCGTTTATTCGTTTTTCCGTTTAGTTTAACATTTTTCGTTTGGGGTTTAAAAATCGGTTTATGGCTTCAATATTTCATTCACACATGTATCGCTTGAGACTTACTGATATAAAAATTATAATTAAACTTTATTTGGAGTACTACTTGTGCACAATGCACATTTCTTAATATTAAGCCTAAAATGTGTTTTAATGTCACTATTGATGAGGATTGTATGATCTTTAAATACTATTGGTCTTTAAATGTGAGGTATTTAAAGTGTACCTAAAGTATACTTACAATAGTTCCACTTCAGCACAATCAAATATACTTCAGTATATCTTTAGTTGGACCTCAACACTACTTCCACACAATTAAAGTGCATTAAGAACAAAATTAGTTGTTCCAATTTAGCAAACTCTATGTATACCAGTTTAGTCTACCAAAAGTTCAGTTTGGTATTTTTATTAAGTATACAATATGTAAATGTATTTGTAGTATACTTAGCATGAAATAAATGTAATTTAAGTACATTTTAGTATATTTATTTTTCACTAGGGTTCAGTCGCTTGCAAGTTAAAATCAAGTTCAACTAAAACTATAAAAAAAAATTTGTTACTTGAAATTTAACTTAAACTAAAATAAAATATTAAAAACCATAAACATCTTTTATTGTAGCTAATAGGATTTCTCACTTTCTTTAACCTGATGTAAAATAACTAAAACTGAAAAAAAAAACCTGATATAAAAATCGCAAAACAAAATTACCAAAACTTTAACTATAATTAAAATTAAAACCAAAAATATAAAAATAAAAATAAAAATACTTAAAGTATGTATCTTTAAAAGAAGTGCATATGGAGATGGTATCCCAGGATCACTTTTTTTTCAGCCTAGATAGTCTAAAACAAGATTAGGAATAAATAGATGGCAAGTCTGTGTCAGGCAGCATTGTGTGGGAATGCATTGTGAATGATGATCAACAGTGAGGATAGCGGAGGTGGCGAGGGGGAGTCGAGAGACGAGGTCAAAAGTACAGGTCGGGGAAGTGCTGATTCTTGGAACGGAAGTCTTGGCTGATTTTACACACGTCAGAAAAGTAACAGAAAAGTGTGAGGGATGTTCAAAGGCCTTCAGTTGAGTTTCCTTCATGCTTTACACTGTTTCTTCTGTTTGAGTGTAGTAATTGAGGACATGATGGATGATGAGGTAATATCTGCAGACATGCTGAGAGAAGTGGGAACTTTCGAGGGTCCAGAACTTTCTGCTGAAGATGACGAAGGATAGTTTAGGGAAGAGGAGGTGGTGAGTAGGTGGCAAATAGGGTAACAGAGAGAGGCGATACTGTCCGTCTGTGTCTGTTCTTTAAACCGGACAGCTGCTTATGTAACAACCACTAGTCAAAATGGGAAGGGAGCCATTTTCTCATACATTTAAACAAGTGGTGTAGTTTGTTATCTTTGTAGGTCTTTCTTTTCTATCTGAAGCTCCTTATTTCGAGCTATCTGTTTCGTTTTCATCCCTTGCGGATATCCTCCCTCTCTGCGTTCTTCTGTTTTTATACTGATAGAGCGTAACCTTTTGGCTTTCGTCACTTATATTTGGCCTCTTCCTGAAACACAGGCCTGAGCACTGGAGAAAGAAGGCACAGGGTGTAGGCGGCCTTATGTAATTTCTTTGTGCTGCTCAGTGAAAACAATTAGTGGATACACATTAATTATGACTAATGTATTGTCAAACTTTTGGATATGACTCACAGAGTGCAAAACAACACAAATAAACGGGACGTCTTGTAGTGTAATTTTTAACTACACTATTTTATCATTAAGTTTTTAGCATTGATAAGAAATGATTATTGAGCAGCAAATCAGCATATTAGAATGATTTCTGAAGGATCATGTGACACTGAAGACTGGAGTAATGATGCTGAAAATACAGCTTTGCATCACAGAAATAAATTACATCTTAAAATATATTCAAATTGAAAACAGTTCTTTTAATTTTCAAAAATATTACTAGTTTATACTGTGTTTTTGACCAAATAAATGCAGCCTTGGTAAGCATAAGAGACTTAGATATTTAGACAGATGAATCTAATGCGTATAACGTAGAGAGGAAATGAATTGTGACATCATTGTAGGCTGACATTAATTAAAAGCCCTATGCTCCAATGTGCTTCGCCCCTCCACGCCATCATTATAAGTACCAATTAAATTACTGATGCCCTGCTTGTTTCAAACTGGAAAACTCTCATTGAGGATGAGGACAGAGTCGCCCACAGACTGCTGGGTTTTCTGGGACACTAAGCTCTGCGGGTCTGGGACAGGGTGTCCGAGGTGACGAGGTGATGCTGGGGGGACATAAGGCAATCCCACAAGCCCTGTGAAACACAGCAGGAGATGTAGCACTACCGTTTACACCATGAAGAGTTAAGCACCCCGCTGACTGCACACAGAAGAGGATCAAGGCCCTCCTTTCTGATTGGCTGTTACCATGTGTTCACGCAGCTGAGAGATGTTGACTGTAAAAAAAAAAGTCACTCTTGCTCATGTCAAAGTCCTGCTAATTTAAACACATTTTGTTGACAAAAAGAAGGTCAAGTTTGCTTAAAATGGAGAGAAATTGCATTGGAGCATAAACTTGTAAATGATAACGTGGAGTAAAAAAAAAACTGATATAAAAATCGCAAAACAAAATTATCAAAACTTGAACTATAATAAAAATTAAAACCAAAAATATAAAAATAAAAATAAAAATACTTAAAGTATGTATCTTTAAAAGAAGTGCATATGGAGATGGTATCCCAGGATCACTTTTTTTTCAGCCTAGATAGTCTAAAACAAGATTAGGAATAAATAGATGGCAAGTCTGTGTCAGGCAGCATTGTGTGGGAATGCATTGTGAATGATGATCAACAGTGAGGATAGCGGAGGTGGCGAGGGGGAGTCGAGAGACGAGGTCAAAAGTACAGGTCGGGGAAGTGCTGATTCTTGGAACGGAAGTCTTGGCTGATTTTACACACGTCAGAAAAGTAACAGAAAAGTGTGAGGGATGTTCAAAGGCCTTCAGTTGAGTTTCCTTCATGCTTTACACTGTTTCTTCTGTTTGAGTGTAGTAATTGAGGACATGATGGATGATGAGGTAATATCTGCAGACATGCTGAGAGAAGTGGGAACTTTCGAGGGTCCAGAACTTTCTGCTGAAGATGACGAAGGATAGTTTAGGGAAGAGGAGGTGGTGAGTAGGTGGCAAATAGGGTAACAGAGAGAGGCGATACTGTCCGTCTGTGTCTGTTCTTTAAACCGGACAGCTGCTTATGTAACAACCACTAGTCAAAATGGGAAGGGAGCCATTTTCTCATACATTTAAACAAGTGGTGTAGTTTGTTATCTTTGTAGGTCTTTCTTTTCTATCTGAAGCTCCTTATTTCGAGCTATCTGTTTCGTTTTCATCCCTTGCGGATATCCTCCCTCTCTGCGTTCTTCTGTTTTTATACTGATAGAGCGTAACCTTTTGGCTTTCGTCACTTATATTTGGCCTCTTCCTGAAACACAGGCCTGAGCACTGGAGAAAGAAGGCACAGGGTGTAGGCGGCCTTATGTAATTTCTTTGTGCTGCTCAGTGAAAACAATTAGTGGATACACATTAATTATGACTAATGTATTGTCAAACTTTTGGATATGACTCACAGAGTGCAAAACAACACAAATAAACGGGACGTCTTGTAGTGTAATTTTTAACTACACTATTTTATCATTAAGTTTTTAGCATTGATAAGAAATGATTATTGAGCAGCAAATCAGCATATTAGAATGATTTCTGAAGGATCATGTGACACTGAGGACTGGAGTAATGATGCTGAAAATACAGCTTTGCATCACAGAAATAAATTACATCTTAAAATATATTCAAATTGAAAACAGTTCTTTTAATTTTCAAAAATATTACTAGTTTATACTGTGTTTTTGACCAAATAAATGCAGCCTTGGTAAGCATAAGAGACTTAGATATTTAGACAGATGAATCTAATGCGTATAACGTAGAGAGGAAATGAATTGTGACATCATTGTAGGCTGACATTAATTAAAAGCCCTATGCTCCAATGTGCTTCGCCCCTCCACGCCATCATTATAAGTACCAATTAAATTACTGATGCCCTGCTTGTTTCAAACTGGAAAACTCTCATTGAGGATGAGGACAGAGTCGCCCACAGACTGCTGGGTTTTCTGGGACACTAAGCTCTGCGGGTCTGGGACAGGGTGTCCGAGGTGACGAGGTGATGCTGGGGGGACATAAGGCAATCCCACAAGCCCTGTGAAACACAGCAGGAGATGTAGCACTACCGTTTACACCATGAAGAGTTAAGCACCCCGCTGACTGCACACAGAAGAGGATCAAGGCCCTCCTTTCTGATTGGCTGTTACCATGTGTTCACGCAGCTGAGAGATGTTGACTGTAAAAAAAAAAGTCACTCTTGCTCATGTCAAAGTCCTGCTAATTTAAACACATTTTGTTGACAAAAAGAAGGTCAAGTTTGCTTAAAATGGAGAGAAATTGCATTGGAGCATAAACTTGTAAATGATAACGTGGAGTATTTAGTTGTTTTTGCATGTGATTTAAGGTTGGAATATGCTACATG